TCTAATACAAGAGGGATTCATTGCTAGAGCTGCCTCTAATAACATCAGGCACAGCGAGGTAATTTAGGGCCGAGCCTGCCAACGGCAGTTCCTCTGCTCCCACAGCAGGTGGACAGAGGTAGTAAATGCAGCAATAGCACACTTGGCAGGACCACTGCTTACTTCTGGTGAGTCGCGAGTTTGTTCAGCCAGGCTGAAGCTGTGAGATAACAGGAATGTCATTATGTCCACCCTGGACCTCCAGGGTCTACCGTGTTCCTTCTGCCGGTGAACTGGTTAGTGTCAGGAGTCCGGGCATATGGGTTTACAATCCCAAGGGGTATTGCTGGCTAGGAGCTGACTCCATTCCCAGAGACCTGAAATTCAAAGGGGCCTCTGGATGATCTATTGCAATAGCTTTCCAATGCCACCTGCTATTTAAGTTTCTGGCCAAATTTGATCCAACTCCCATTTAATTCAACGGAATGGATACACAGATAACACCTGAACAGTCCCACTTGGTGCCCGGCTTCCTTTCTGATAGTGGCAAGCCAAGGTTAGGAATGATTTCATTGATGTCTCTAAAATGGAACCATATTTTTTCCAAGGTCTCCGACATAAATGGTTGATGGCTGTGTCTTATCAGAGCTAATGAGTTTTCCAAGATCATTTATTGGGGGGCTATGAACACAAAATCATCAGTGTGATGGTGCCAGCTCAGGTTTGGGTAAATGGGATTGGCTTGTATTTTGATTCTCCAATATGGTGGCAAATAGCAGGAGAACTCAAACAGTATTTCAGGGATGGGAGAGAAGGTTGAATGAGTAAGACTGTGTACTCACTCCTCTTGCAGAAGACTTATGTTCAGTTCCCAACACAATGCACACTCGCACACGTGTGCACACACACACACACACACAAATGGAGTGACTACAATTGTAACTGTAGTGCTTTGACTGCATAGTAACATGATTTAGAGTCTTAGGTAGAGAAAGAATCATCTTTGGTGGTAAATAGGATTGAGAAAAATACAAGATGGAAGTTGTGGTGATTTGACCAAGAACAGCCTCCACTGGCTTGAACGTTTGAATGCTTGGTCCCTGGTTGATAGAATCGTTTTAGGAAGGATTATAAGGTGATGCCTTGGAAGAGGTATCTCTCTGGTGTGGACTTTAAGGTTACAAAAGCCCAGTCTGTCTGTCTCTCTCTGTCCCCCTCTCTCCCTCTATCTCCCTCTGTCTCCCTCTGTCTCTCTCTGTTTCTCTCTGTCTCTCTGTCTCTCACTGTCTGTCTCTGTCTGTCTCTGTCTCCCTCTGTCTCTGTCTGTCTCTGTCTGTCTCTGTCTCTCTGTCTCTCACTGTGTGTCTCTGTCTGTCTCTGTCTCCCTCTGTCTCTCTCTGTCTATGTCTGTCTGTCTCTGTCTCTCTGTCTCTGTCTCTCTGTCTCTGTCACTCTGTCTGTCTCTGTCTCTGTCTCTCTGTCTCTCTGTCTCTCTGTCTCTGTCTCTCTGTCTCTGTCTCTCTGTCTCTGTCTCTCTGTCTCTCTCTGTCTCTCTCCTGCTTGTAGACATATGTAAGCTCTCAGATACTGCTCCCACGCCATGCCAGACTGACTGCTGTCATGCTTCCTGCCATGATGGTCATGAACAAACCCCCTGAAACTATAACCAAACTCCCCAACGATTGCTTTCTTTTATAAGTTGCTGTGGTCTCTTGCTGGCAATAGAAAAGTAACTAAGACAGAAGTCCAGCGTGACTTAGATGTGCTGTCGCAGCCAGTTGATTCGTTTACAGTCACAGTGCCCAGGACTGCAGGCTACAGACTTACAGCAGCCAGTGCTATTGTGGTAACTGAATTCATCCACCGGAAGCCTCCAGATCCCATTAGCTTTTGTCACTGGCCACACAGAGTGATTATATTGAGATGTTGCATTTTTCATTAGTCTTGTGGGGTTAGCATCCTCTCATCGAGGCTGTGGTTTCCTATACTCTTCCTAGAAATTCTAAATTGCTTCCTTTTAAAACACAGAAGAGAACCAAAAGATGAGCTATGACTTCCTTGCGCATCTCCCACAAATGGTTCTTGCAGAAGAGAAAATTCTCCCCGCTTGAACACTGAAAACATTCATAAGACAAGCATGCCAATTATCAGTAGAAAAAGAGACTGTGGTGCCGAGCAAGGCAGCCTCACTCATGTTCACAATTACTCCATGTCCTATCGTACTGTTTAAAGTTTGTCTGATGAAATGTATGACCTGAGCCCCACAAGAGAAGCCAGTGCTTAGTGATCAGGCACATTTCAAAAAGATGTAGAGGTTCACCTTCATCCCAACCCCTCTTGCCTGTCTCCATCGTACATTCCACTGGACAAGTCCTCTGGTCTCCCAAGGTCAGCAAGAAGCGCCATAAAGAAGCAATTGCTCTAAGACAGCCACGCATGTTCCTCTAGCTCTTCTGCTGATCTCCACAAGGGAATTGTGTCCCATAGAAGCAAGGTTTTAACCTGTAACAATCATCTTCCTTTTTTCAGAGAATGGGGGTCATGGTGCAGAGATTGGACTATGCTTCTCTATGGTGATTGTCCAAAGTGACCATTCTTTGGGTATCTCAGTCTTCATGGGCATACCCATCTGGCCTTGGGTGTTTGGGAATGGGTTGGATGTTCCCATTCTGGGCTCTGTTTTGGGATTTCAGGGGACTTAGAGAGGTGCCTTTCTTCTGGGCAGCTTATGGCCCTAAGTGAGCACATTATCAGTGTAAGTTCCTCCAAAAGCAGTTGTGTAAAGGATTTGACTTTTCAGAGGGAAGAGCAATTTTATAACCTCAATAGTTATGTGCCTAGGGAGGGAGGGTCTTTCCATTCAGTGCTGAGTAAGTTGAGAGTGTTATCAGCCTCCACATTTTGAATAGCTTCTCCATGGAATCATGCAAAGAAGTCCTCTCGTGTTGATCACAGGTAGTGATTAAAACAGAAATTCAAAGTAGTCACCAGTAGTCATCCTCACTGTGGGAAGTGAATCTGTCTGATAATAGTCACTGTCCTTAAATATAGGATCTCATATGAGGGAGTCTACCTGCTCCCGGTGGCCTGTAAAAGTGAAATCTTCGCTCAGTCATCCTCATAATGATGGAAAGCCAACGGTTCACAGTGCATTTCCTATTAATCAAAGCGTTCCTAGTCTCCCTGACTTTACCTATCAATACTGGTTTGTACCATAGGACTCTCTCCGGGGACATGCTGCTCTTTAGATGTTTCTACTTGCAACTTAGGTCTAGGTAACCCTGATAGGATTCATAGAAGGCTCCCCAGGTGGCAACTATAAATACTTGTTAAATTTCACCCCTCTCTCATCAACCTCTGCCCATTATCCCAACTCATTTTTATATAGAAGTAGGACAGGGGTGGGCCATTCATTGTCTCATCCTACACCACATTCCCACCAGCCACAAAAACATTTCCAAATGTGCCTAAACTCAGACCACAAACCTTTGTCTTTTCTTTACTTACCTTGACATTCCAAATCTTTTATCACTTTGGGGGCTGAATCCCGACTTCTTAGAAGATGGCAAAAAGCAACAAGACTCCAAAGGAGATGACTAAGCAAGCAGGTGGCCCCGCCATAGCCAACTCTACGGATTGCAGCAGGAAGATAATACGACTCAGTTCATTACAGTGCAGCAAACAACAGACCGTGAGCATGCCAGTGCCACTTCCTCTGTGCGCAGATCCCACAGGGTAACGCCAAGAGACCAGATGGCAGCTACACACACACCGGGTTCTGTCACAGTCAGCAGACCCAAAGCCAATGTCTCAGCACATGAGGGAAAAATAGAGCCAAGCCTGCTCCTCAAAAGCAAGCACCAACATAGAGGTCTTGGCTGCCTACATGACGAGTCACGGAAATGGTCAGCTATGTTCTGGCACGAGCAGCATCAGTGTCCATTGACTTCTGGCCCGTGATGGGCTGCCCCCTCTGATGAGGCCATCAGTTTGATCAGGCCTTTGTTCTTAGGGAATGCATACCGTCATGACATTAAATGGTTAAAAACATAGTCTGTATGAATATGTGGGCACACAAAGACAAAAGGAGAGAACGCCTGTGGGATGACTGTTGGCAGATGGAGCTGTGTGAAAAGTGGAAGAACATCTTTTGTGCCATTCAACTTATGCACCTTTCCTGAAGTTTGAAACTTACTCAAAAACATTAATTTCAAAAACCAAAACTCAAAACCTTGCAATCCTTTATACTTACCATGCAAATACCTTCGTACCTCAACAGTTACAACAACAGGAGAAATAAGAGCTTGCTTCATTGCAAGGCATTCCATCCTCATAATCCTCTTAGCTTATTTGAAAATGCCACACAACGTTCTCACATACCGGGGGAAGAATCCATGTTGCTGCTCAATGGACATGCTTCATGGTGGGAGTTGAATGGCAATGTACTCCACACCCACTACTTGAAAACAGACAGAAATTTTAAGAATTGGTTGCAAAATTAAAAAAAAAAAAAATGTTTTCATTGAGAAATAAGTTGTAAAAGAAAGTCATTCAATTTCTTTTTGAGGTTTTGGTCCAGTCATTAATGATGCAATAGGGAAGGAAAATGTAAATAGAGCAATATAAATGCATTTTCTAAGGTCTATCCTACTGGCACATTTCTACAATCCTAGCACTCAAGAAGCTGAGGCAGGATGATCTTGATTAAGCTCAGCCTGGGCTACTGAGTAAAATTCTAGCTAAAGAAACAGATACATTTATTTTTTGTTGTTGTTGTTGGTTTTTTTTTTCAAGGAAAGCCATCAGTTGCAGTGTATGTGCAAACATATTTATAATGACCCAAGAGACATTTATAATAACTAAAATATTAACCAGTGTCTGAGCACTTGACGAGGATGGGCTACAGATGAAGATACACATGACAGTGTTCAACACAATTCTTCCGTCCAGAAGATAACCATAAATGTGTTCTCTGATTCATCCCCAAGTACTCACTACCTTTGTTCTTTCTCTTCTTTCAGCTAGAAAATCTGGAAGCAGAAACTGCCCCGTTGCCCTAACTGGGTCCCATGCCATCCAGAACCTCGCTGAACTTAGAAGCCACCATCTCCTTGGAATCAGGTTGCTGTCAGGGTGTGTAGGAGGTTTTGGTTTCCTAGGAAACCACCTGATCTTGCATCATTCAAAGTCAAGTCTGTCCTCTCTGGCTACTTCACTCTGCACATGAGAGACACCCATACTGTAACAAGCACTTGGAAGGGAGAGATTGTATGAGACTACTGAATCCAGCTTCTGTACAGAATCACTACAAACACATGCAGTGGACCACAATACTCTGTGGTATGTGAATTGGAGTCATCATAGAAGATGACCCTTCTGTATGTAGAGTTTCTATTTTCAAGAAAATACTTATGACCTTATCAAAGAAAACCATTAATTGTTAAATTTATTGTAGTAACCCATAAAGTAAATGCTACCTCTGACCTCTGACCCAGTCACCTTCCATGGAAGGTCCCAGTCTTTCTAGTCTTCTGTGAGGGAATACATTATGTTTGACCTATAGTGTTCACCTTGAAATCGTTGTCCAGTTAAGACATTGATGGCTTCTCCATTTCTTGACTTTGTGTTGTTTGAAAGAACACATAGATTTCTCCCCTGGCTCCGTAATGAAGACGAGAGGGTTGTAAAAACCCAGTGTCCATGGCAGAATGGTTGATTCTCGCAGTACAAGGACTTCCTGAAGTTATAATATGCCGATGGTTGTCCTCCAAACTGTTCACACAGTCAGGTTCACCAAGTTACCTGGTGAGCTTATCATAACATCCAAGTCAGAAGCCAAGAGTTTTGCTACCTTCATTTCTCTGTAATTTCTCCCCATTGCATGCTCTGTTCTATGTTATTTTCTTGGATACCCTCTGAATCAGCATGATAACACAACAGATGTTTTCACTGGGTACCAGGAAAGTGTAAGCATTTTTTAAAACATATGGACCCAATAAGCATAATTACAAGACAGACTCAAACAAGCATATAGAAAAATACGTGACCCATTTTTCAATCCTATGTAGTTACTAAAACATGAGATGTTATCAATACCCCAAGTCATTTTTCCTAAATATTTGCATTTTTTGCAATGTCATAAGCATTATCTTCATCTTCTTTGTTCTCTGATAAATTGCAAGATTGCCTTGATAAGGTGTCAGTCTTCAACGTAGAATCTCTAAGAAAAGCCCTGTCTGACTAGTTTTCTTGGACATAATATGCAGTTGAAATTTGGCAATCTCCTATTTTTAGATCTGGAAGAATGGTCAAGTCAGATGACCAATGCAAGGGCGTTCTCTTCTTTGAACTTTTGTCTGTACTGATTAAGTGAATTGAGTCTTTTGTCATCTTCTATGGAGGCAGAAGTAGAAAACAAGGGCCCTGGTCCCCTCCCACACCCAACACAGGGTTCCAGACTCTGCATGCAGCTGGCAGATACTACTGTAAAAATGTGTATCCCTTCATCTGTCCAACAAGACACGATCATGGGTCACAGCTGCTGGAAGGCAACTATCAGAGATCAGAATAACTGAATTTACTGTCCCAGATCTGACTGGATATAATCACATAGACCCGGCCATGTATCCATCCATTAGAAGAGAGGGAAAAAAAACCAAGATAAGTGTTTTAATGTTTCCTTCCAATGATGTCTCTAATAACCTCCATTTCTCAGATGCTGTATGCCAGGATAGATGGGCACTGTGCTGCAGTTCTTATATTTTCTCGTAAAAGTAATTAAAACCAAAATCTTTAAAAGGTTCAGAGTTTTAAAATGGATAACACAAATGAGACTCATTAGGGAGAATGAAATATCTCTGTGTAAGTACTGAGGAAGAACATTCTTGCTTCCAGTATTCTATGACACAAGTTCTCTCGAGGGACAGGGCTTCTCTTCAGTTGTCACTGTTTCGGTATAATGACCCACTCTTGGTGTGAGTTATCTGGCATGTGGCTGAGAGCAATCTGGACTTAATGTTGAACTTGATCCATGATTTTTTTTTCTACAAATATCATATACCTGTGCACAAGGCTCTTTGATTCTACAAAAAAAAAAAAAAAAAAAAAAAAAAAAAAAAAAAAAAAACAGGCAATGAAAGGGTTCGTTTTAAAAATGCATGCTAAAGCCAGACATTGCCAGGAGTTTTTATGGAAAGCCACTTTCAATGCCTGTATGCTAAACTTGCAACTCAGGGCATGGAGAAGTGAGAGCCCTCTGTCTGATGGAGTTAATTTTCTATTGTGATCTAAAGGTAAATAAAATGATGAACAAAAAGAAATATCGGGATTAAATTATGCAATGTTTTTAAAACTAATCTGGGCCTGTCCTGCACTAAATTTTTTCTATTATACATGAAAACCATCAATGTTGAAACAAAGAAAACAGTGACAATGGGAAGCTTAGGGGCTTCGCTGCACATATCCACTTTGGGGATAACTCGAACACACCCTTGTTTCCTGGACCAAGACTTCAGGCAGAAGCACATGAAGATGGTCCAAGTTTGTGACATCTCTTCTAGAGATGAATGAATTTCACTAGAAATAGTTTTACCCTACAGTCATATATTCCCTGCTGCCATAAAAGTTCCAGGAATTATGGGATGGCCTACACTGTTCAGGAGTGAGCAAGGGCCAACAACTTCTTGTGCACAGTGTGTGAAGATGGTCATTGAATAAGGCCATGGCATTTCGTAGTGTAAGCAAATGAGTGGTCCTGTTTAACTGGCCTGACTGTGTCTTAGGCACTCTACATCGCAAACAGCAGATGCCTGAAGCTTAAAATTTGGACTACAAAAAGTGGGTGGGGTGGTTGGATCCTCCTCCGTGGGACACAGCAGGAGAAAGCAGCACCTTCCTGCCTGCTCTGTGTGAAATCTAAGTGCAGCCATGAGTACAGAAGTTCTCAGTACCAGCTTACAGGAAGCACAAAGTGATCTGATAAAGTCTGCTATTAAACCTATATTAAGTGCAATGAGAAAAATACTGAAAAACAAAAATGACTCATCCTCGGAATCTGTGCCCAGCGTCTACAAGCATCTTGCATATACCTACTTCCTTAGATAGGTATATTTCCTTTCAGTGCTTTCCAACTTCCACAGTATTCATTGGATATTATCTGACAGGGTACCGCTTCAGCCCACCCAGCCCACCCTCTTTCTTTTCCTTTCTTATTTCTCACTTCTTCCCAAGGTAGGTTCACAGGCTAGAAGCTCCTCCAGCTCACGGTGTAACCCTAGCTGGCCTTGAGCTTAGGATCCTTCCTGCTTCAGCCTATGGGTTGCATTTACAAGGTGTTACCATCATAAACACACACAAGAAGAAGGAGAAGAGGAGGAGGAGGAAGAGGAAGAAGAGAAAGAGGAAGAGGGACAAGGAGGAGGAGAAGAAGGAGGAGAGTGAGAAGGAGAAGACGGAAGAGAAACAAACTGTAACTGTGTTGGTACAATGCAAACACAATGCGACTCCTTTGTTTGTCTAAACCATTCATGTTAACCGGAACAGTCCTGTATGTTCCAACAAATACATATTTATAATGGTCCAATGACACTTTATCATTTCTGATTCTGTGCTAACTGGAACAATCCTATTATGTTCCAATGCAAATACAGACATATTTATAAGGATCAAATGACATACCATTTCTGGTTCTGAAAGAATGCTAACCCTGATTCTATCTCACAGGAAGTTGTCTACTCCTCTCAGTGAGCTGCTGCCATGCTGAGCTGTGCAAACAGTGCTTGTTTTTCATGGCACAGTATGCAGCTCCTATGTAGAAAACGCGTGCCTCTTTTGTGATTTCACAGAGGTGGAACAGAAGCCCTTTTGGAGAGAGGGGGCACATTTTATCTCAACATTGTCACAAGCACCATAATAGGAATATTTAGCAGCCAAAAATATCTTTCAGGAAGAGTGTGCTTAAAGGCTGTCTATGAGTTCCTTCTTCCCACCTAGAGATTTTGATTTTAAAAAAAAGAAGAAATCCTGACTCTCAGAAGCAGACTGTGATGTTCCATTTCCTTTCAACCCTCTTGAAAGAAACTTCTGTTGTTTGGCTTCAAACATGAAAATGTTTTAGTTAATTGGCATTATCGACTAATGTCGGGAAAATTTTCCATGAATACAAAGTTACTAAATGCCAAATGGAAATGCAAAGAGAAATAGTATGTTCTGAGGAAGCCGCAAGAAGAGAATGGGAAGAAATCAAGGCAGTGGTAATTTCCCTAAGAATCTGTTTGGACCCGAACAGAGTTGCATGCAGGCAAGAGCAATGAGTGATGAGCTGGGCCATCTAGGCGCATTTTAACTAACGCACACCAGAGAGAAGGCAGAGGTTGTGTTCCCCTAACTTTGGGGATATGATTTCTCAAACATGCCAACGCAGAGGATTCGGGGATTTTCTCCACGTCAAGGAGAGCAGAAACACCAGTGTCTGATGCTTTCTGTGTCCTGGCTTCCTCTGGAGATTGGCACCCAGTCTACAGAGATACTTTGTGGATCTGGTACAGTGCAATATCACCCTTTGGTGTGGCAGCCAAGTGTGTCAGATTCACTGCCTATCTTCTCTAGGCTGCAGAAGCCTAGATAGGCTCAGTTCGGCTACCAGTGTCCTCGGGAAAGCTAAGTGCAGGTGGCCAGTCCTCAGTACACCCTCCAAAGATCTCCAGGCAGAAGGGAGCCCACGGATCCTGCTGGATCTTGAGTGACACTAGAATTCTTAGAGTCCTTGAACAAGATTATGCCATTTGCACTGGTTTTCTTCCCAGAGCACAGTGCTGAGATGGAGTGTTGGATTATGTTCTTTCTGTTAGGATAGCAGTGCGTGTAACTTTCCCTTTGCTGTGGGCAAAATACATTCAGACTTTAAAACGAGTGGATTTATCCTCTTAGGATTCTACCAGACACTTTGAAAAGACAGAAGGTCCTGTTGAGGGCAAATGTGGCCAAAATGGCCCACAAGTGTTTGTGGAGCTTGGGTCCTCCTTCACCCACTTTCTTAGAAGTTTGGGTTGTTGTTATTTGGTTGCTTGTTTGGGGAAAGTGTTGCTCGTCATTATTGCTCACCTTTTGCTGTGTTCTGGGTCTTTCATTTC